ATTTATATGATTCATTGTTCGTTATACTCATTCTTTAATTGCACTGCGTTAATTTTGCATCGATAAAATTCATAATAAAAGAGCAGTTTTCAATGTTTAAATTACATTGCGCGCGAGGGCAAGAATAATTGTATATTAAAACGCACTTCGGGGAGTTGAAAAATCACAAAAAAGAGAAAAAGAGTAAGAGGAGAACGAAACATTATAATTGATTAATTAATGTTTACGATACGTATGTGAAACTTTGCAACGAAATGCATGTGATTTTACACATTTACTTTATTACCGCGTAAAGATTCATTGAATTGTGCATGTCAATTTACATTAATTGTCTGATACTTGAATTAAATTATTTTTTATTTCTAATGACTCATTTAGATAAAATTAATATTTTGTACAAAAGATCAAGTTTATATAGGTACGCGAATCGCTTTTTTAAAAATATATCATGTCCCATACATGTATAACTGGTATACAATCAGAAAGAACAAAATGATGCTGCATATATACGTAAAAACAATTTAAGAGAATGATGAATCATTTTTTTAAATACAAGATTCTTATTTTCGAGGAAACAAATCTCAATAAATTGGAAAATTAATCATGTTTTTGTGCCTTTTTAAGCTTGAATAATTTTCAACGATTGGTCGGACATGTTACATCGTCGAATTCGTCTCGACAGCGATTATCAAAATATGCAATATCTATATTAAAACCATCTGTTAAAAAGATAATACAGTCATGATTTTTTTTTATACACATAAAATTTGTCTTTATATATACATATATATAAAAGAAAGCGCGCATACAGATTAATATACTATATTTAATCTTACAAATTGAAAAGCCGCTTGTTTCTGTGTTTTACAATTGTTTACTATATCTCAATAATAGACCATTTGATGTACAAGAAACTCGTGTACTACAAACTGTGACATAAATGCCACGAATTCCTACACGATTGTGTTTGTATCGATACTTTTCCCCTAACGAAGGCATGCAAGGTGATTGATCTCTCTCGCGTGAATTTCGCAAATTTCCGGCGCAATGCGGCTTAGAGAGGGAAGGAAAAGCGGGTGAGCGAGAGAAAGAAACGATATGCGAGAGAAAAAGAGAGAGACGCAGGAGCAGCAGGTAGGGATAGTGTACCTGCAACCTGCCCGTGTACATTTCTCGACGCGCAACTTCAGTCACCGATCGAATGCTCGACAGATCGGTTACGCGATACATTTTCGTTTCCCGACGAGGTAGGCGTGTAAGTCGAAAGAATCCCGACTGTAATCATTTTGTTTGTTGGTACGTTAATCTACTAAAGTTCTTATGCGTATGTGTGTATCGATTGCATACTCTCTCGTGAGCGTGTATTGAATACTCACATGTGTGTGTGTGTGTGTTTTTAATTTTTTTAATATTATAATTGTATGTATAATTTACAATTTGTGATTTACGACAGATGGCAAAGATTTTAAAACAAAAATCGACCAGTAAAATTTCGGTGAGTTTCAATTTGGATGTTATGCGACAAAATTTTCTTTCTCCATCTTTATTACAGTTTATATCTGTTTTTATTGCGTGAGAAACAATCGCGCAAAGTTTGGAAGATTTGATAAAACTGTTCCGCATCTATATTGCAAATTTTGAAATCGAGACCAATATGTACTATAAATCTTTTTTTCATATTGCAAAAAGGAATAAACGCGTAGCTTTTCTAATGAAAAGTGGTTTATTTGTGGCTGTTGTAAAAAGTGGGAAACAAAGTTGAAAAACATTATAAAATGCAAAAATTGTGTGCGCGCCGACCAAAGCGCTCCGGTGAATGTAATAATAATAATCTCTATCAAGCTCTCTCGAAACGCTCCGAAAGATGCCTCGCAGCTGTAAGAACGGTCCGTTATGTATGTTTATTCACGAGTAAGAGAAATGGAAGACTAGATTGGGACGTGTTCGACTCATGTTTTAATCACTATTTCGATTAGTTTTCAACTACACTACATTAACACTTATGTTGATATATTCTGGAATCGTCAGTAAGACATTTTTCCCTCTTTCTTTTATATCGAACAAAATATTTGTCCTACTTATTTTTATTTATATGTATAAAAAAAGAAGAAGAATGTTAGTTATCGTGTTTAGAAAAATTATTTGTACACACACAGATTATACCACATAATACAAAATATCTCTCTTGTTTTTAACGATATACAGGAACATTTTAATCAACTAAAACTGACATTGATTTTTATAATAATATATTTTTTATCGACTTTATAACTCTTGTAGTAGTTTATGTATCTTAATTAACAAACAAATGAACGAAAGTAAATACTAATAAACGTAAATAAAATTTAAAAGCCAAACGTACTAATAAACGTAAAAGAATTTCATTAAATTACAATTTTTTTCAATTTTAAATGACTCTTAATTAGTACATTACTAAACTTGTCTCACATGAATCGCATAAAAAACATAACATTATTATTAAAAAAAGAAATTAAGTTGACTTTTAAATCTTTTGTATATACATTTTCCATTTATTATTTACAAACATTAATTTATTAATCGCACATAATGTCATATTCCAAACAAAATAACTTTTATGAAAATAATTTTTTCCATATCTTTAGTTGTTTATGAAATCGATTATAATTTTGAAATATGCACTTAAATTAGACATATTATGTGTGTACATAGTTTTGATATAATATAAAATGAAATATTATATAAAATTAGAATTGAATAAAATTATATATAATATACAATTTCGAGAATATAAAGTATAATTGTCTCTCACAAATATATCATGTATTTTATTGTTCAAATTTGAAGTAAATTATGTCAATCAAAATACGATACGTTAGTGTTGAGATTGATTAGCAAAAAATTGTACTTTTAATTTCAAATTAGAAACTCTTTATGTGAGATTTTATCTGTTATTGATATCTAATAAATTCTACTGATAAAATTAATATATAAATTATGATAATATAATTAGACATATATGTATATACACTTACACACGCATACCCGCGATATTATAATAAATAATAAATAAAACTGCCTATGAAGGTTTAAAAATCGACATCTCTCGATTTAGTGCAGCAATTTGGATGATACTTGAAGCAATTTGTGATATCGCAAGTTATCCCGTTCATTTCATACCGATATCTTGTTCCGCGTGCGAGTAATTCAAATCTCATAAATTTCGAATAACGTTTCCTGACGTGTCGAATAGATGGTTGTTCGAAATAGTTTCACGGTGTTTGACGATCATAGCACGTTTAAAGATTAACGGATCTTTCTTTGCGCATCTTTGTAAAAAAAAATTACGCGACATTATATAAGCGCTATTTAAGTGTATATAATGTACGAATTTAATTAATTTACAATTTTTTATTAAATCAAAAATTGCATGCAATTTAAAACAAATTTTTATTTTAGTTTTACACATTTATGGTGTGTGTGCGTGTGTATCGTACACAGTTTTTTTTATCTTGGATAAATAATTCTTATTACGCGTTTGCGTCGTATCTTAAAACAATGTGGTGTGTGTGTGTGTGTGTCCAATATATTATAATAATATGTACAATTATAATATACTATCTTCTTTAGCTTGATCATCTTAAATATCTCCGATTGCTATTGATAATAAAGAGAATGACATAAAAAAAAATTATTTTTACAGGACATTAAAATAAAGTGTAAAAAAGATCAATGTGAAATAATATCAAATAATATCAAACTCATTTTATTGAAAATTTTATTTTACAATTAGTTATAATATAATATTAATGTTATTTATATATATATATATATGGAATAAATCTTCGCAAATTACAAAAAAATATGATAAAAAGTTTTGATGATTGCTGTGATAATTGCATTATTAATATTCTTAGCTGCAGTTTTCTCCTAACATAACGTTTTTCCCGTATCGTTATATATTAACAATCAAGATACATTTCAGATGATTGGATAAAAAATTTAGTATTATTAAGTTGTATTATGATGCAATGTTTTTTAATTATAAGATTGATTAGTTACAGGCTCGCTAGTTGAAATTCCCTTTCCTCTTTGATTCGATTGACGAGCAATCGAGTTTCGAGTTACATATATGTGATGCCACAACTTGATGAAATGTCATTGCTCGCTCAATCTTGTCTCACTTTCATTCGCCAAGTTTCTAAAAGATAAATAAATTAATTCTTATCTCTCCGAGTAAAAGATTATAGCCGATCTTGTCGCGAGCAACAATCTTATAAACGACGAAACATTGTACCCCAATGATACACTATAATTATTTATGATATCAAGATTGTTTTGTAATTTATATCGTTTTATTCACAAGTGTTGTAGAGAATTTCTGTTTTCTTTCCAGATAATTGCGATTCTACGTCCATTGCCAGTCGAATCAGTGATTATCACGTTGTATAATCTGTTTCGAATTGGACGTAATATTCTATCGTCACAATATTACTCGCCATGTATTAATTTGTAATAACAGTCTATGGATATTCAAGTAATATAAAATATTTTGTGATGCAATTTTATACGTCAATTTTCAAGAAACAGTTCGAGAAGAAACAGACCAATTTATCACAAACAATATTCATAATTGAATCTTTATTAATCTTTAACCATATGTCAACAATACATATGTCATACATATAAAGCCCAAAATGAGATAGATTTGAAAGTATATATACATAATGTAATTATGTAATTGGAACGAAAGGAATGCACAAATCGGGGTGAGATTTTATCTCAAATTAATTTACACGACATAAAAATGCATTGGCGCAAGACTATGCTCGATATAACAGCCAGTGAGAAATTGAGTTTTATAAATCGGCTGGAAAACGCGATCGTTGCCGCGATTGAGATATTACCATCTTTTATTTTGAACCTCGAATAAAGTTGCAAATACCAAGGAGACGTTATCGGTGAAAAATTGTTCAAAACAAATACGTACGTAATAAAGTAATAATTATTATCGTGAAAGTGAACGATGCACAATTGACTCCAAGTTCGAATCATGGAGGACGCAACGACAATCGAGCTCGATTCCACAGTGAGGAGTCAAAATTCAAGTCATTCCAAGGAATCGAAAGATTCGGTAAATTCGGAATCGAAGCCGGAGAGTTGTCTAGAGTCGAAACATTCGAAAGATGTTCTTATCCCGGAGAAGCAACAGCGACAGCATCAGCATCCGAAGCGTGCCGAAGATCGTCAAGATCTTCAAGCAACTTCCGAGGCAAAGGATGATTCCAATATACTCATGTTCACCTCCTGCGGACAATTGCTGCTAGGTAAGTTGTGACGCGAGAAAGCTTTCCGATTCCTTCATCAGCGTTACTATCCGTATGATACTACAATTATTAATATATCATTAGTATTCGTCTGGAAGTCGAGTAATACAATATGTTTGTGAGATCTTTAACAAATAAGATAATGCAATTGCGAGTCGACTTGCAAGTAAATTAGGCAACACACTTCCGAAGTGGATAGTTTATTTATGTTTCTTGGTTTCTATCAAATGAAGAAATTAAATATTGTCATATTTCATCTTTATTAATTAAATATGTATGCATATATCTATATATACATTATAATGTACTACTAATAATTTTGCTTATTGTTGAAATTAATAAAAATTTATTACAATTGTTAAAACTTACGATTATATTAATAGCGTTCTGTTTAAATTATCATTGCATTATTATCAATGAAAAATTGTTCCATTTTATTTCTGCGTTTTCTATTATCTCACTGGCGAGGTATATTTGTTGATATCGGTAATATAAAAGATTAGGATATAATTTCTTTAATGCGACATTTAAAATAGAAATGTAAAATGTAATAATAATATAATCAAGGAATCTCTAAGTATAAACATACAATTTATGTAGCAAATGGAATATTTCTGCAATTAATTCTGAGAATTAGTTCCGCATCAGGAAAAATATGTATCGTCATTTAATTATAGACAATTAAATAGTGATACAGATTTTAGATAGGGAAAAATTCGTGCGTGCATTTCGAGAAATCACGAAACTAACTGTCGAATGCACATAAATCAGAAAGCAACGTAAGAGTGAAAACATTTCACTTAGAAAGTCCGTACACATGCAACTCATTTTGCACATCTACAAAGTACGATGCTCTTTATATCTTTGTGATTTATTTCTTCCAAATAATTGGAGACGATTGAAAGAAGCGAGAAGCGAGAAGAGTTAATTTTGGTCTCCTTTTGTGAATTACTGTAACTTTTGTAAGCACAGTTACGCGAAACATCTTTTATACATACACATACATAATGTAAGAAATATATGATACAAATATATTATACAACAATGCATTAGACATTATATGATATACATATACATATAACGATATATGAGATGTGAGATATAAAAGTGAAAATGGTAATTGGTTGATTGATATTCTTTCGCACCATTTGTAGGCATCGTTCTGGTCGTTTTTGGTGTCCTGGTGCTCGTCCACGGCGCTTCCTTGGGTGGTTCCGGTGCAGGACTCTGGGCAGGTGCAGGTGCCCTGGTTGCCGGTGCGCTAGGAGTGGTTGCAACGTTAGCGACGTCTTCCACTAAAACAAATTCCGCTTTCGCATCCGCTCATCTCGCGTCCAGCTTGATTGCTCTTGCTCTGTCCAATATGGCCGCTATAACGGCCTTGACAGCGGTCGTCAGGGACTCGCAGAGGGCATCGGAAGTATCGTTTCTCAGCCTCTCGGTATGTTCTTCTCTTCTATGCTCATTTTTTCATTTTATTTTCAATATGTAGCCCGATATGTAACATTTCAAAAGAGAAACAACTCTAATTTATTCGTTTATAAATTAATGCAAAATTAATTTATTATGTTAAAGTAATAAACAAATATTGATGGTGTGTTATTATAATATATATAAAATATAATTATGATAAATTACAACTACGTTTATAAAAAAAAGGAACTTTTGCAAGAATTTAGTACAATTTAAAAAATATAAAACCTTTATTATACAATAGAAATAGAAGAGAATTTAATTTAATTTTTATTGTTTTAAACTTATAATTTTTAAAAATTCGAATAATCAATTTCCGTTAATAGCAAATCTTTATACCTTTAAGTAAATAAATATCTTATTTGGGAAATAAGATTTTTGACATTGTTTCTTCTATTTTTTTGTAAAATACGCGTTATAATTATCAATCCTGTGATTTTGAGATAAGACAAAATTTATCTATTTTCAACATTAAATCAGAATCACGCTTTAAGAATCTAATCTCGAAATCATAACCAGAAAATCAGGAAAAAATTACGCATAATCGTGTGTAACATGTACCTATCTAGCTTGTTTGAAAAAAAGTAATATTATTTCGAAAGTTTACTATCACTTTAATGACGCAACGACTAGCTTCATTATTATCCGATTGTTTTTTTTCGTATTCGCGCTGGCAGCGAATGCACGCTCTATGAACATAGAAGCGCAGACTCGATAAAGATCAAGAATGCATTCACGGTGACGTTAATTAGCAGGCCGTGGAGCCTTATCTTTAATTAACGCGGACACACGAGCTGATCTGGATTTATCATTTGTGTCAGTATTTTGGCATTGTATAGTTGGATAGTTTGGACGGAAAAATATGATTGGGAATAAATATTTTTGTTAAAAAAATAAAAAAATAAACATACAGTATTTTTACAGATTTACACAAAATATTTTTACACATCTTTAAATATGTAGAACAAAAAATTTATATTAGAACTAAACGCATAAGATTTGCCTAGAAACGTCCAAAAATCTACACATATATATATATTTAAAAATTGACAATCTAACAAGTAACTGCTAATTTTTTTAAGCATTGGATATCAAAATAAAGAAAAATAAAATGATGAGAAGACTCTTTTTCGTCGTAAAAGTAAAACTAAAATAATAATGAAATTGAGCTTAACTTTAACTTGATATATCGAGCTTATATTATTAAGTTGATAAGATTTTGCTCGAATCTGGTGAATGCAGCTGTTGAAATCGTTTGACCACCGTCGGAGAAAGTTCCCAATGCCAAGGCTAAAACGCGGTCAGGCCGTAGCAGTACCATGAAATTCCATGGATCGCGATCGCGGAACGTATAGGAAGTTATGCTCGCGCGCGAGCGCGAACTCACGCAATGCTCGCATTAACACGCGCGTGATAACAAGGCGTGTTTCCTCTTAGTTTTACGAAACTTTGAAAGAATATTGTTTCATGTTTGTTTATTTTGTGCTGCAGAAGATATTATAGGTATAAATCGAGAAAACATATATGTTGAAACATATAACAAACATATAACTTTGTCAAATGTGACAGATTTGCGCAAGATTCTTTTTGCTTTTTATATGAAATAATTTGTCGCATCGATACATGTATTTGTAACAAAACACTAGACACTATAGTCATTTTCTTCGCGCCTTTGTTGGATTTCCGCGTTTACGGGACGTAGAATGGAGAATCTTATAAAAATACATGTTTCAGGATGATGACAGCAACGTGGTGGAAGTAGACGGTGGTTTGGCAGGTTTGCTAGCGAGTATAGGCTTGCTAGTAGCCAGTGTGGCAGAACTATTGGTATCCGGCTATAGCTGTCTGACCTTGACACCAAAGTTGTGCGGCTGTCTACGAAGTAGTATCACGGATGAAACGGCGAGCGATGGTCATCTGAAGACTCGCAATATGGTTCACCAGTGGGTCATCACGCAGAATCACGTGCCCGCCAAGAGCCAGCAGACACCGATTTATGTGGTGCAACCGATGCCGATGCCGATGCATCCAATGATTCAGGTAAATGCTCGGCCTCTTCTCCCACGACCTCCAACAACTATGACCACTCGTAGATAGGATAGGTCAGTGACATGCGTGCTAGAAAGTTTAAACCGAAGAGAAACTCTTTTCAGCAAATTGATGCACGCTTTATTATAATCGTCGGTATGTTAACATCTTGGTGCTTGGAATGCGATGTGAATAGAGAGTCAGCAAATATGCTCGAAACAATTTTTAGTCAAAATATCAACGTATGACTCCGAGATATTAATGAATGGAATATAAAATAATGAAACATACAAGAATGAACTTTAAATATATGACAAATTTTGTAATATTGTATAATATGATAATTTGCGATAAAAAAAGATTATACGAAAATAATATAAGAGATATGCGCAATTACAGCCACCATATGGTATGCCACCACCACCAGCACCAGGAAAATTTCCGCTTGGAGCATTCGTGCCTGCTGGATCTCTTTCGATCTCTGCACCGACGACATACGGCGCCCTACCTGTATTGTCTCATATGCCTCCGTATGTTGGACGACCGCCATCTCAATTGGTAAGCTATTGAATATAAAATCAAAACGAATATAATATCTCTCTTACTCTAATTAGTAAATTATGATCAAATTTGTAATAACATACGCATAAGCACACAAATATATAATATTGTCTTTCTCTAATTATATTTTGATAATGAAATAACTTGGTCAATCTAAACATAACATAATTATACAATTATATATAAAGTAATGAGAGAACATCTCAAGAAAAGTATTAATAATTACATGTGTAGATCTCAAAATAATCTGGATTGATTATAAGATGTCCCGAGCACAAAATTAGTTTAACAATAAGTGTAATATAATATGATACAATATGATTAATAAAAACATTGTAAACTATCAAATTTTTAAACACATGTTTTGCATTTTGTAATTAGTTAACTTAATAATTTATTTAATCATGATAAATAATTACTTATTTATAATCGACAAACAATTTGAATTTAGTTCCGGTCAAAACACAAACGTCAGCCGCTGGCGGATCAGGAGGAATTGGAAACAAAAAGACAAATTGAGATTAAGAATGAATCTTTGAAGAGGATGTCATCGATCGGGGAGGATCAAGTGGATCTAGCGCAGACGTATACGGGATTGGACAAGAGAATTTCCGAGGAGTTTATTTCAATCGCGATGGATCCGGATAGAAAATCTAAGGCTTCCAGTCATTATGGCAGCGAAATCGGAACTGCAAAAACTTTTTAATGACTTTTACTTGCAATAATAATTAAAGGGCTTGGTGCAAAAATAGGAATATTTATTTATACATAATTTATACAATCTACTACTATATACAATTGTATACATACAATTTCTTCCTTCTCTCTCTCTCTCTCTCTCTCTCTCTCTCTCTCTCTCTCTCTCTCTCTCTCTCTCTCTCTCTCTCTCTCTTGGTTCTCTTAACTTAAAATATAATATATTATAGACTTACATCATTCTCTCTCATGCATCGAATCATTCAATTTTATATAACATTAAACGTTTATTTATCGAGAGCGTGATGTCTTGTTACATTTATCGTACTTGTTTCTTGAGATATTTACAAAATAAAATGGAATTTTAAAATACGAGGTGATATCAAACTATTCTGTTAATAAATTAATTAATTTAATCTTTATATCTTTACTAATGTCTAAAGATTGTTAATATTTGTAATAATATATGCATCAAGTTTTATCTTAGCATTAAATGTAATTAAGTACACGAAGAAAATGTAATAAATGACTTTTGTACTAACAGAATGCTAAGAGGCCTATTATATGTTAGCAGTAACTCTGCTGATATAGTAACTCTCCTATTTCATAATTAATTGTTGATTGCATCGTGTAAAAATTTACAATCTTATTACACAATTTCGTATATACTATATATACATATAAAATTGATATACTAAGAATAAATAACTTAATATAAATAAAACTGATGGCGAACGTGCGCGTATGCACACACATAACACACACACGAAGAGATTTGTAATAATATATAGTTTTATAAACACCTAGCTGTACTCGTTTTTCAGGATATTGTCCTATCTTTCTAAAAGAAGGACAAGTTCTAAAGTTACCTGACGATTACCTGATGCACGTGCTCAATCTGTTATACTGTCTATATTTTTTATGCAAATTGAGAGAAACGTGCTATTATATATAACCTGTTATTAATGAAATTTTTATTTATTTTTACACTAAAATGCATTTCTATGCTATGTAAAAGTCTTTGTCTCGTTTGGAAAAGAAAGATTAAGTTGTATTAATTCACTAATTGTAATTATAAATTGAGATTATATACATCACTCTATATATATGTAATTACAATTATTTACAATGTATATAAATTATACAATATACACTTCCAATTGTCTCCTAAAAAATTGTATTTCAATTTTGATAAGATACTTTATAATATTTTGATTTTTAATATAATACTTCGTTATGTAGTCAGACTTCTTTACTTGGCTACACTTTTATGATAATTTAACCGTAACTTGTATATATACATATGTATACATAAGTGTGTGTGTGTGTGTGTGTGTGTGTGTGTGTGTGTGTAATATTTTAATATTTTGTTATATATATTAATACAAAATAAAGTAAAATCTAAAACTATCTTTCTTCATTCAAATTTAATTTTTTAACTTTAGGTGTATGTACAACATGTTTTAAAATTTTAATTTAGTAAAGAAATAAAATTTAACAAATATTATAAAAAACAATTACGTCTTATTTCACAACAGCAGCAGCAACAATAAATAAACACAATGTCAAAAAGTTTATTTGTGTATGCGAAAAATGTTTTTTTTTATTACTAGACAACACAAGCGCGCGCAAAATGCTTTGCTATTATTTCTATTATTTATTTTACAACTGTCAAATTGTTAATTTTGCTTGATGCTATGAATATATGACCATAATTTTAATTCGCCGATTTTCTATTACGTCACTGAATTTTATTCACCGAATTTCTATTATGTACATTTTTAATTTTCCGAATTTCTATTTTATTGTTTGATAATTTTTGTATATATATGCTTTATATATATTTTTCTCATTTCGTTAAGTTTAATCGAATATAATTACGTACACGAAGCGAAGTTATATTATTTTTTGATAATAAAATCTTAAAAATTGCAATGTATGTATAAAATTATTATATATTGCAATGCATGCATAGAAATATATATATTAATTGCGTGATTTATAAAAATTCAATATATACATTTTTAACAGAAAACAAAAAGATAGAATTTTCTACAAGAATCTTTCGATCACAATATATCTGCGCTTCTATTAAATTCGCGCGTTTCTATGTGTTCGCTTGCTGCACGGCTCGCGCGTCGCGCGAGACTGATCACGTGATCATCAGTGTCGCAAGTCATAGTCGCAATCGCAATGTCTCGAACGAGAATTAGTTTCGCGCGAGACGCGCAGCGTAACAGATGTGTAGGGTGTACTCTAATCTTTCGTCGGGCCCAGTTTATTCTTGGCTGTGAAGTTAGGTTTCGCCATGGCATAACGGACGTATGGGGACGTGCGAGTCTAATGAAATCGTAGGTATTTTGATCGAAAGATTCTTGTAAAAAATTCTATTTTTTGTTCGCATTTTCTATTTAAATATTGAATTTTTATGCATTGCATAATTATAATTAATGTATTTTTTATGCATACATTGCAATAATGATTTAGAAAGGAAAACACAAAAATAATATATGTATAACTTTCAAACTTTTATTTCAAATTTATATATATAATATATGCTATAATGTATATATCTTATTTATGGTAACAATATAAATATACAGCAAATGAGTGTTAAAATAGAAAATATTATAACAGTAATTAATTAAAATAATTTATTTTATATGAAAAGATTTATTTATATATAAAGAAGTTTCAATCTCATTTAAGCAGTTATATTTTTATCAGTGGAAATTGCATATTATATTAATTTGATGAATATTTAATAAAAATAATCGTCAATGATATTTAATAAAAATAATCAATTGTTAATGGGGTATTTAATAAAAATATAAACAATTGTCAATGGTATAATAAATATTTGTATCTTAAAATCATTAATATCATATACTAATTAATTTGTTACAGGATGTTTCCGATACATACACATCATTATGTCGGGTTGCCTATCAGCTTACCGACAGGAGCATGCTTTTTGACAAAAAAATCGACTTCATCATTCTATATATACAGTAAACACTTATGAAATTGGATAATATAGATAAAATATATATTTAATAATATAGATAGAATGACATAAGTAAAATTTAATAATAAAATTTTACTAAATTTTTACTAAAAAATATTTTTTAACTTATCGTTAACATATTTTATCTATAAATATAATAAGTCATATAATAAATTTTATCTATAATTATAATATTTATAAGTATATATATATATATATAATATATATAATATATATATTATCTATATATATATATATTATCTATAAATATAATACCTATAAATATAATAAGTCATATAATAAATTTATTGATAAATATAATATTTATAAGTCATATAATAATTTTTTAGTAAATATAATAAGTCATGTAATTATATGTTATTATATGTTATTTTATCTATATTATTAAATTATATTTATCTATATTACCCAATTTCACAAGTGTTCACTGTATATATAAAACAATAAAGTCGACTTCCTTTCTCATAAAGCATGCCCCTGTCGGTAAGCAGATAGGCAACCCGACATAATGATGTGTATGTATCGGAAACACCTCGTATATGTATATATGCACAGAGTGTATGTATGTGTAGTATAAAACATTCAAAAATATCATAAAAAAAGAAAAAAAAAGACAAGATATATAATCTTATCTTATATATATATATATATATATCCCTTGTAGAAATTTATCACTAGTAACGTCAATTAATCACTTATTATTTCGAGTACTTAAAATACTGATATACAGTAATTTAAGTACTCGAAATAAGTGATTAAGCACTCGAAATAGGAGATAAATTGGTGTTACTAGCGATAAATTTTTATAAGGGATATACATATTATTTATTATTTATATAGAGATACATATATACATATACAATAGAGATATTACATTTTATATTTTTTTTGTGTCGCTTTTTCAAAAACTCACGTAAATAATGTTATGCTTTTATCCTCGGGTGCGTTTAAAATTGTCGTATAATCAGTCATATATATATACTTGTCATCTCTTCAGGTCAGATATTTGTAAATCGATGTAGTCGTTTATTAGGCAGCAAATTCGTAAATATACGTAATAGGTGCAGCAATGTCTGTATGGATGTTAATAACAAAAAATATAAATATATGAAGAGATATTGCATAAAATGACAACGAAATTTAGAAAAAAAATACAAACAGTGAATGGATATGATGTGAAAAAGATGGAAACAATCTACAAATCGATGAGTTTGAATTGCAAAGGCAAATCAAGCGTGCTTATAATTTTATTTTTATATTTGAGTGGTCCGTGATGCCATTCAATCCGGAAATTTCGTATGATCTATATAAAAACACAAACGCGCATTTTATATTTTTTTCTCAGATTACATAGACATATTTTGTTAAAATAAAATATAGATTATAGTTTCAGATTCAAATAAAAATATATGCTATAGCTGAAGCGCTGACTTTTTCAAGAATGATTCAAGTTAAGTATATATGTATAATATAGACGTGTATTTTTCTAAATATATTTATAACTTTTTATTTTTTATTAAAAATATTACTATCTAATCTTTTGTTGAATTTTATATTTGATCGCTTTTACATAGAATTAAATTTATTTTAAATTATTTACATAAAATTAAACAAATAAAAAGGCAGATTTAAAGAAATTTTAAGAAATTTAAAAGAAAATTAAAAGAAAATAAAAAAAATAAAACTGAACGTGGAATTTGATGAAATCTAACTTTTATTGATAGTTATTGTGTTATATAAAGTGAGATTTTCCTCACACAAAAATTTTAATAAAGAATGCAATATTCCCTTCTTCCTCCTCACTCTTGTTAAAACTTGAATCATAAAAAAATAGTGGTAAAAATTTCAAGTATTTTTGACTGGGCGTTACTTCTTTTTAATAAAACATACATAATTTTAAAATCGAGATTATAATATGACTAATTGAATCCCGAGGATAAATAAAGTAGCATAAAAAAGTGTACAAACTGTCAAGAGCAATGTCTCGAGTTCCATCTGAGCGAGTCTTCGGCCAACACACGTGCGTGGACCGCATCCAAAAGGCATGTATGCGTAGGGATGTGCCTCTTTGCTTAATGGAAATTTAGTATTATCCCGTAACCATCTTTCTGGAATATATTCGCGAGGTAGCGGAAATTGTGTAGGTTCCATTGAGATCAATGCGTGACAGGCCATAACGTTAAACTGCGATGAGACCATTAAATGAGATAATTAAATACAATTAATGTTTGAAAGTATATTCCAATAAGAAAAGTATATTTGGACGTAAAAACACACATTTTATTAATTTATATGTTTGTAAATTTGTATAATTAGTATATGAAATAAATCTTTATAATTTTGAAAATAATATTGGTAAAGCGTACCCCTGCTGGTATTTTGTATCCTCCTATAGTAACATCCTTCTGCATAGTTCTTTGAATGCCGACAGTAATGGGAAATAATCGCATGGATTCTTTAACGCAGGCCTTAGCATACGTTATTCGATTCAAAATGTCATGCGTAATGGGCGATGTTTTACTCGGTAAGACAGACATTACTTCTTCTCTTAATTTGTCTTGCTTTTCTGGATTATTCGCGATGTAATAGAGCAAACCACCAGCTGCATTGCCGGTCTATAACACACAGATCTTGTTAACTCGTAATTCTGCGATTATATAAATATTATAATATATTCTTTCTATTTTTATTTAAAAAATCTATTTTACTTCAAAAACAAGTATGACAAGATTTTATTTTTATTGCTGTTTTTATATTATTAATTATTATCCGCGCTTATTATTATCACTTTGTCAAAAGAAGAAAAGTAATTTATCTGTTTGTATAAATTATAGAAGGTCGAGCTATATTGTATCAAAGATCGATGTTTCGATCCATAAATGTCGAAAATCTTAGAATCTCGCACACTTACCGTGTCAATACCACCCATTATCATATCTAACGCCATTACATGAGCCGTTTGTTGTTCATCAATGCGTAAGAGTTTCTCCAATATACTACGGTTTTGTAAATCTGTACTGACTGCCGTTTCGTCCAGTTTCTCTTTAGCGTGTTTGATGTATTTATCAAAAATTCTAAAATAGATCGTATAAATGTAAATTCTAAGAAAATGTAACGATCGCGATTATAATATGGTAACGAGATGAGTTGTGCTTTGAAATTTATCATTGTTTATACAGAACAAATTATATATGTCATATAAAGAGAGCACAAAAAGTCAAAGCAGATATATGTATATAAATTTTAATTATAAAGTGTAATTTTTAATATTTACTCATTAATTGTGTCCAGCACATTAAACAACTTCTTGAGATCTCGCGTATTATAGATTTTCCACAGTGATGGTAAATTTTCCAAACGGTATATGAGATCGAACATGTCAAGCACGCAATTAATCATTATTTGTGGTTCCGAACTCGCGGCAAGATTAGGCTTTAAACATCCTAATCGAAAACCCAAACCAATCGAACATATTGCTATTCATTACATATAAAGATAGATTATCAGTCATAATAATAATCGATAATTATAAAAAATTAAATAGTGCCTATATTTAAATATCAATTTAAATATATCAACGGTATAAATAATATTTTGCGAACATTCGCATATAAATATGTTATTCGCACATATATATATATACTTACATTCTAAACTCCACTTATACAATTCATTTATAAAGTTATTCGGCAACTCCAGAGTTTGAGGATCCCGTAATGTTCGCATTTTTTCTATAAATTCGATAGTCACTTCACTGATTTGCGTGACGTGCGTTCTGACTGTTCGCGGTTGCATCATGTACGGATTGACTTTGAGCGAAAATCGCGCCACAATTTTCCCTGGCTGAAAACAGGAAAGAGAGAGGTCACTTTCAAGACTAAAATTAATTTCTAATTTTTATCAAATTTTATCAATATACATATTTTATCAAATTTTAAATGTTTATTTGTACAATATAATGTTTGTTAGTTTGTTTGTACAATATTATCATATATACCGCTCTGGCTGTTAAAATTATAAGATTACATATATATATATATATATATATATATATACATATATACATATATATGTATAAGAATGTGTGTTTATATAAACTTTTTGGAAAAATTGTGTATTAATAAGGTACAATTTCACGTGCCGCTAAAATAAGTGATTGAAGCGACAGATTTGTCGCTCGTAATCCAGCATCAACAATTTTGTAGTTTGAAACAGTTCAACTACAAAGCATTTACTGTTTAAACGTTTATCTTTCAATTCTGTCGCGCTGCCTATCCTTTTCATGTACAAAATGATCGCTGTTTAATTCAGCGACAAAAGTTGTTACGTGATCATTTTGTCGCTCAAACAATCGGTTTCAGCGGTTCGTGAAAAGGCACCTTTACGGATAGATAACACACTTGCAAAATAAATAAAGTCTTGATACTTATAATTTGATTTTATTAGTGTAATGGCACAGTATAAATAATAATATAAACCTTTATATCTTTTTTCGCAAATAATTATATATATTCTTATTCATCACTATATATATATACTGACCTTACTGCGAGACCATATTCGCTGAAGATATGTTTCCTATTCGTACGATAGTAATACAGGCTCTCTAAAGCAATTCGAGTCGGTGAGGTACCTACCAACCGATGCATTTCCTCGCAAAGTTGCGGACAGAATAGAAAAATGCATGATCGACGATTCATTAAACCGTCCAATTTGACGATACTGCCGTACTGATTATGTAACATATGCAATTGAGTCATCATATCTGTATTACCGTATTCACCTATACATATCATTTTTGTCAATAAATGTAGTAAATTTTTACAAGCACGCGAATTAAGGGAACGAGAATATATTGTATTGACATAATAATCGACTTATTTTCTTTTTATACGAATGTATATATGATTAAAAAATAAAATAGAAGCAATTATTATAATGAGTTTTTATATAAAACTAATTATAAGACTACATAAAGTAAAGAAAAGAATGAAAAAAGGAAAGTGAATATATTTTATTCGTATTTTTATTTTTATATATACCGATGTCATTCGAATATCTCAATCAGTGCTCTATTATTAATTATATATAATAAGAAATAAAATTCGGCTCGTGTAAAATTAAAATAAGTTATAAATTAAAAGGCCAACTTATCGAGCTGATTAATTAGGTGTTAACAATTTATTCTAAGTCATGAAAATAATACAAATGATAATTAGTAAACGTTTCGACTGTACGACAGTCTTTATCAATACAAATATCGCTTTGCTAACATATCCATAAATCAAAATTGTTAACACCTATATAATTAATCAGCTCGTTAAGTTGGCCTTTTAATTTATAACTTATTCTATTATTAATGTTTTATTATTAACAATATTTCTTTAGTCAAATTTTTAACAAAAAAATTTACATATGTTAAATAATAATAATATAATAATAATAAGAGACCTAGATATACAATAAATTATCGCAGGAGCAACACAAATTTGTTAAAAGTTATATGTATATTTAATTAGACTTTTTATGTATTTTGTAATTCAAAGAACATTGCTAACTTCAAAATAAAAATATTAACATACATCTTAATATAATATTAACACGTCAACATATATGACATTGTACATATATTCTATGAGCATTTACGCGCGCGTGGGTTCGTATATATATATATATTAATATTATACTTATATATTAATTATCAATTTTTCTAAAGTTTCTTATTATTAAAGTTTCTTATTAATTACATTAATTAATAGAATTATACATGTAATTTACTATTTGTTTAAATTTTGTATGAAAAGTTAAAATAAAAATATCATTTCAAGCATATAAAAATCGATATTTGACTGCGTGTCAAATTCAAATAAAAATGCATATATCGAATAAAGGAGTTTTTACCTATATATGGTATAAATCTAAACCAATTGCCAAGCAAAGGCAATGCTTTTGGACCAGGAATATTTTTTCGCGGCCACAAGTGTTGCGGTTTCTTCTTCGTATTTTTCATTTCGCTATCCATCGAACAATCTTTGATCGACTTTGTCGTGCGACATTGTATATTTAATGGTAACCATAAACCATTAATTTCACGAATGAGAGACCTGACACGCATCATACTTTTTATCAGATGCTCTTGACTTTGTTCTACAACGTATATGTATATACTTAATAAAAAACGATACTGACAATGTATATGATTTCATATAGAATTATCGATTTAACGCAACTGTATAAATACATCATACATTATATTAGCATTATTTATTTATAATTTATAACATTTAAATTACATATTTTATTTAATAAATGTATGATATGCGAAATACTTATTTAACTAGTAAAAAAATATCTAAAATTACAAATTTAAGCATGTAGAAAATAATAATGTTAAGATATATCTTCTCGTTTATTTCCATACTCGTGAATACACAATTTCAGAATTGAAAGCAATGTATGCGTGATATAATTATATATATAATTTATTAATTATTCGCGTAATTGATTGTGTCAAATTGGAATAAAAATTGGAAGAAATAAAAAATATAAAATTTATATCGATCGAATACCTTATTAGTCTTGCGTTTTTTTTCCTTTTGTAGATTGCGGCAATTTTTTAAGGTATTGTTCTTCCGTTCAATCTTTCTCGCTCTTTGGACACGAACTTTCTGTCTGCTTGTTTTTGTGATTTTAATCATTTTAACATTTGCTATACTAACAAGTTTTGTATATTCAAAATTTATCGAATATCATAATAAACAGATAAATATATTTGACAAAAGAGCCAGAGGTAAACTTTTTATTTGCTTGTTTTGAAAGTATATATAGATATGTATATTTATAAAATGAGCGAAAAATATTTATAATTTTTAATTTTAATTTTTATCATCTGTTTGCATCTTTTTATAATAATATATGTAAGATGTAATAATAATTATACTTGGAAGAGCATTAGCGAAAATTATTCAATACTCTCGCATTCATATTTAAAGATAAATTAAATCTAAAATATGAGATTATTCATATTTAAAATCTTCAAGTAAACACCGGTATTTAATTCTACGTTAAACAGAGCAAAACTCTTATAAATAATATATTGTTAGCGAAAATATAAAACTAAATATTTAAGATAAATTGAAATTAAAAGAAATATTCAAACACACACACACACACACACACACACACATATAATTATATATATATATATATATATATATATGCGTATATGCATGTATATAAAAATAAAAGATTTGTAGATTGCATATATATATATATATATATATATAGATGTATATATAAATATATTGTTATATATATAAAACTGCATGTCAGATATCATATAATTTTAAAGTTTGAAAAAATTTATAGATAATAAAAAGTGTCTATAATTTATATGCATATATATATTATATTATAGCGAAATATTTCTCGCATGTTATATACATATATTTTATTATATTTTATTTTATATATATATATATATATATATATATATATATAATTATACATATATATTATAAAACATTTTTTTAACTTATATATGTTTTACAAGTTTTGTAATCCTATTTTTTTTTAAAGAGAATAAAGCGAGAAAGACGGGAAAAATTAAAGAAAAAAAAAAGAATTCCTTTCGTGGCTCTTTATTTATTAATACTATAATAATATTAACATAGACAATAATGCAAATAAATAAAGCATACAATTTTTTATTAGAATAAAGATAAAAATAGATGAGAGCAGATTTCTACGTCTTCATTGTTAATAATAAAAGTTACTTATTGTTAGATTTTTCGAACGCATCCTATAGAGACCTAATATTCAGAATGCGCGCGTCACATACAGATTAATGCGCCTGCCAATTAATCTTTCGTTCTTATGGACAAGCTAAAATCGATTGGTTATTGCTTTTTTGCCGCGCAAGATGCATAATTAACGTGTGTTTGTATGTATAAATACATTAAATACATCATAGATGTGTATATATACATATACATATATCTACTAGAGGTGGCCTAAATTAATCAAAGAGCAAGAAATATTTCTCTTCTCATTGTAAAACGGGCACGGGCGTTACAAGGCATACGAGCGCATGCAAATGAATGCGCGCGTATACATGCATATCAAGCAGTGTTGCTAACTATAAATTTAGAATTCTGGAGATCGATTGTGTATCTTGGGTGAGTTTGCTCACGAGATGAAAATTACAAAAGTGAAAAGATTTACTAGATATCGACAAATGAAACCGTGGGTACTCTAGTAAATTTCCTCACTTTTTTGTAATTTTCACCTCGTGAGCAACTCACTCAAGATACACAATCTAGGTACTTATTACGGTTCTTTGGATGAGTTTGCTCACGAGGTAAAAATCACAAAAGTGAGAGATTCACTAGGTTGTCTACGCTTCTATTGGTCAAAATCTAGTGAATCTCTCATTTTTGTGATTTTTATCTCGTGAGCAAACTCACCCAAATAACTGTAATAGGTACCCTACCCTCTGCTATGCGACTCACTAAAAAACCCCAGAAATAAGCTAAATTTAAAATAAATATGCTAAATAATAAGCTAAATATAAAATAAATTTTATTAAAATTTTTGAAAATAAAATGTTTGAAAATGAAATACATATGTATATATATATATATATATTTAGTTTTTAAGAAAAATCTTGATTTCTATATTTAGTTAGAAAACATAGATATTTTTAATACAAAATCAAATTTTTTTGACATTCAATTTTTAATAAAACAAAATTTAATAAAATAAAAACTCTTATTTTATAAGAACAATCTACCTATGACTAAGTATAGATAATGATACATATAACTTTAAATTATAAAATGTATTATTGCAGACTTCTAAATATTAAAAATATAAATCAAAATATAACCGCAATGTGTAAACATTATAATTGCACAAATTTAAAAAAATAAAATTACAAACTTATATTATTAAAATCTATTTGAACACAGAACAGAATATGTTAATATTATGAAAATTACAAACTTATTATATTATTAAAATCTACTTGAATACAAAATATGTTTAAATAAAAAGATTGGCATAAGGTCAAATTATTCAAAATGATTGAAAAGATTAGAATTTAAATTAAAATTTTTATATTTATGCATATAAGCCTTATTTGTACCTATAATATTTAATATTTTCTCATCAAGACAATATATCTAGTGTAACAACACTTGTTATTTCTTTTTAAACTATAACGTATAAGTAAAGTTTATTATAGAAAAAATACGCCGTTTTAATTCTCTAATAATCCAAAAAATAAGCTAATTATCGAATACGCTAAAATATAATTTTTACACCCCAATTGAGACGAAATTAAGCTAGATCTGCCGAAAATACGCTAAGTTGGCGACACTGATATCAAGTGCTTGTGTGTTTGACTTTACACGAACGAGATACATTTCGCGCATGCGTATACGTTAAATCTTCCAAGTGGTCACAACGTCACAAGTGACGTGGAACTATATGTGAGAGAGAATGTGTCTTTGATGCAATTTTCTTATTAACAGTATATCTTAAAATGCCATGTTGATGATAAAATTATATTGCTGAATAGTGCTAGTTAATTTCTGCTATTTTTTTGCGTGAATATAATTGTAAGTATTTACTAATTTTTTGAGACTAATCTGTTACAATGATTTTATGCTTTTTAGATTTACTATTTTGTAAATCTACTCGTTATTCAGCATTTCTAATAAAAATGAGATAATTATATTAAAAAACAAAAAGAAAAATTATGTCAGAAATATATAGTTATAAAGATCAAATTATTTATATTGTAAAATATATTATTTCCTGTGCGTTTTTTATTATAGCATTATGACGACATATGAAGATTTTATTCAACAAAATGAAGATCGCGACGGTGTGCGTTTTACGTGGAATGTTTGGCCTTCATCGCGTATTGATGCTACTAGATTAGTTGTACCATTGGGTACTTTGTATCAACCGATTAAAGAACGAGCAGATCTTCCACCGATACAATATGATCCAGTTTTATGTACAAGATCTACTTGCAGAGCGATTTTAAATCCATTATGTCAAGTAGACTATCGTGCAAAACTATGGGTCTGCAATTTCTGCTTTCAAAGAAATCCTGTAAGAAAAAATGTCCTACATTTTCTTGTAATATCTAGCTAAAGCAGTTTAGTTAGATTGAACTTAATCTAATATTTAGATTTAAGCTAGCAATTGTTCAATTTTTATTAAGTAAATTCAGCAGAATTAAGATGTAGACTTGATGCAACTTCTTTTGTCAAAAAGTGATTAAAATATTGTAGTTGAAATCAAATCTGGTGTCACATTATTATACGTGTACATGCATGCAATGATAATATATGTATTAATCTACATATTTATGTATGTTTTTATATTATATTTTTTCGTTTCAGTTTCCACCTCAATATGCTGCAATTTCAGAGCAGCATCAACCAGCGGAGCTCATTCCAATGTTTTCAACAATTGAGTATACAATAATGGTAAGTAATCATGTACTACAAATAAAGTGAAGCAAAAGTTATTTTTATTTATCAAAAAAAACATTTTAAAAAATATTGAAGTATTTATTTTTGTTGAAAGTATATATTGATGCTTTCTTTTTATATTATTTTACATAATTTATTTTTATTTAATACATAATATTTTCATAATTTTCCATCCATATTATGTAGAATAAAGAGTAAATTATTAAAAAGTAGTCAAATTATATTTATAGAAGTAGTATTCATAAAAATCTTTAATGTCTTTGTATTCTAATATACTCTACATGTTTTAAAATATTTGTAGGTACAAAATGTATTTACTTGAATTGTTATATCGAAATAAATGCATTGACTTTTTTTTCAAGATTTATTCTCAAGAATTTTTTACATATTTATTTTACTACGACTTTATTTGATATTACTAGTTTATTGTTTTGTATGTTTACATTGAAATTACAAAATGTATTTACTTGAATTGTTATATCGAAATAAATGCATTGACTTTTTTTTCAAGATTTATTCTCAAGAATTTTTTACATATTTATTTTTACTACGACTTTATTTGATATTACTAGTTTATTGTTTTTGTATGTTTACATTGAAATTACACATTATTTTACATATAATCAAATCTGTATGCGTAATATTGTATATATTGTTTAGCGTGCTCAATGTTTACCACCAATATTTCTACTTGTTGTGGATACATGCCTGGATGATGAAGAATTAGGGGCACTTAAAGATTCATTACAAATGTCATTGTCTCTGCTTCCCCCCAATGCTCTCATTGGTCTTATTACATTTGGCAGAATGGTTCAAGTTCATGAATTAGGATGCGATGGTTGTAGTAAAAGTTATGTATTTCGTGGCACAAAGGATCTTCAATCAAAACAAGTTCAAGAAATGTTAGGTAAGAATACAAGAAGACTTCCAAGTTATATATTTACTCTATCATTTTTAGTCTTATATATCTTTCTTTGTTACTCTTTGTGATTATTTTTTATTGCATTTTATTATATTTCGGCATTTTTTATTAGGCATGGGTAGGCCAATTCCGGGACAAAATCCAAATCAACCTAGAGGACCTGGTGCACAATCATTGCCACCTGCTAATCGCTTTTTGCAGCCAGTACACAAGTGCGATATGAGTTTGACGGATC